ACAGGTAAAGTTATTAGTTAAAAGTCTTCCTTGTTTAGGAATACCGGATCCTTCAGCCTTTCTGATTATAGAAACAGATGCATCAGAGTTAGGATATGGAGGGATTCTTAAACAAAAACTACCAGAATCCAGTATAGAACAGGTTATAAGATATTATTCAGGAATATGGCATCCTGCACAACAAAAATATTCTACTGTAAAAAAAGAAATTTTGAGCATTGTTTTATGCATTCAAAAATTTCAAGATGATTTATTCAACAAAAAATTTTTGGTAAGAACGGATTGTAAAGCTGCACCATCTGTATTACAAAAAGATGTCCAAAATCTTGTTTCTAAACATATTTTTGCTAGATGGCAAGCATTATTATCTAATTTTGATTTCGATATACAACATATTAAAGGAGAAAAGAATTTCTTACCAGATTATTTGACAAGAGAATTTCTACAGGAAAAATGTCAAAAATGAATAGCTCAGATTATGCTATACCAAAGAAAGACGAACCAGAATTACCAAAAACCCCAGTCAAAGACAAAGGAAAAAAACCAATGACCAGTTTACAAGTTCTACAAACCATAGTAAAACCTATTCAGTCCCCATCACCAAATAAATTTACTGTCTTAACCAAACCTACTCAAACTATACAAAATCAACCATCCGCAAATCAGACCAGAAAACTCCCTCAGTGGGCCGATCAGATATACCAAAAGCCCATTGAAAAGACTGACAAAATTCCAGAATATTATGAAAAACCATATGGATTACCCATAATGGAAATAGAGCCAGAATGGTTTAAATTAAACCGAACAGAAATAGCCAGAAGAGTATTTCCGCCAAATTGTCATGTGGTTCCAACTTCTTCTGAACAAAAAAGGGAGTTCTATGAGTTAATTCTTATTGACTCAAAATCCATAGAACTAACTCACAAAAAGAATGAACAACAAGAAATAATCTTTTCAAAATTCAAAATCTGTCAAATATTGACTCCAAAAGATTAGGGACAACATTTGTATTGTTATCGCATATTTACTATAAATTACCAGCCAATACAATATAATTATTTTGATTATATCAGAGCTTGGGAAAAGTTTCTTTTCTTAATACCAGATACTCATTCCTGGTTCATTTGGTTCCGGAAGGGAATTTCATTACATTTTCCAAAATGGTTTTTTGCTTGGTTCCACAATTTTGGGCCAGTTCAAGAAATACTTCCAGAAAAAGCACAAAAAGCCTTTCAGATCTTCTCAGAGAAAGTAAAAATTTCAGAACAATATAAATTTATTTCTTTTATTGCATCTCAAGGAATTTCTTGGATTATGATGTGGCAATATGACTCAGCAAAGCTAGAATATGATTCATCAGTTCAGTTATTAATCCGAACCATAAAAGTAAAATGAAAAAATTGTGGGGGATTGAAACTACTCATATTGCATAATTGGGGGATTGAAATTGCACAAGCGACGACATTGCACAATTGGGGGATTGAAACTACTACTCGTAGACCTTCCATACTTAGCTCTGTATTAAGCACTTTTCTAGTAGTGATAGGAGAAAGTGTTGGTGATTTATTATGAAAAACTATGGTGTAACATTAATCTTTGTAAGGGGTAAAGAGTTGATGGCTTAGGTGTGTGGTATGTTGATTGAGCTTTTCTGGGAGATTTCCTTGCCATGTGCAAATGCAAAAGGAGAGGGGCATTGACTTTTGTAGCCGAGTAAAGAACTCTTCAAAGGCCTAAATAACAAGTAACAAGGTGACCATAGTTTGTTTCTGGAGATAGAGTATAAAATATTAGAAATTCTCCTAATAAGTGTTTAAAAGTTAATAATAAGTTGTATGGAAAAATAAAAATTAATAATACATTTTTTATTAATTTTATTATAATATATTATAGGTTTTGAGAGAAAATGTTATTATATTTTTAATAATAAAATTTTTGCTAGATAGTTACTCTAATATCTTCATATTTTAAAGAGTTTTAGTATTTTTTTTAAATAGATTTAAATATATATATATATATATATAAACATGTGTAAAATATTTATTCACATTAATTATGAAATAGGTTTTTATTTATTAATTTAAAATAAAATTTTTAATTTTTGTAAAAGTAATAAAAAGTCCTCTTGAGTTAGAAAGTTGAACTTATGTTTTTATTTATCATTTTTAATTTTTTGAATTAATTCTTTTCTCTCAAAAAATTTTCAGTAATAAAAAAGTATAACAAAAATATCATATATCATTGATTTATATAAATTTATAAAACTAAAAATATGTAAAATATTTAATGTAAAATAAATATTTTATTTTATTTTATTTAGTGTTTTTCTTAAATATTTTATATATTTTAAATTTTTAGCAATTGATAATACAACACATTTTTATTATATTTATGCTAAATATTAAATAAAATTTTTAAATTAAAAAATTAGCACAAGAAACATTAATAAAAGAAGTAGGTTTACATCAAAATGGATAAGATTAGAAGGTGCATTATTTTTTAAAAAATATTTTAAAAAGTGATAGAGTAATTATCAAGTGACATATATTATATTGAAAAACACAATTGATTATTTGAAAAATAAAAAAAAGAAACATACTCTTAAGCAAACTAAACAGTAGATTATTTAAATGTTTATATTAAAGCCAAATTTAAAAAGAGTCATCTTCAAAAAAAGATTGGTAAAAAAGATTGACTTCCCCTCTTCCAAAATTGTCTTATACTTCAATTTTTACTGACGAAAAGTAATATAACTTTCCTTGTTTCATAACAAATCCAATAATCTTCTTGAGACAAGATCCTAAAAAAATTAATGAGATGAAAAAATATTACTACACATGAGTTTATGAATAGAGATAATATTAGTAAGCTTAAGAATATGAAGAACATTTTTTTAATAAAAAAGATATAGTGAGTTGAATATTACAACAATAAAAAACGAGAGTTCATGAACCATTAGCAACTATAATGTGATGTGTATAAGATAAAGTGGAATAGAAAATAAAAGAAGAAAGGTTGAGACATACATGAGCATGAGATATTAAAAAAAAATTAATTTTTTTTATCAATTATGGCAAGAGAGACTCATAGTCATCTATGGTGAGAAATACTTATATTTTAAATGAAAACATATTAAAATTTGAAAAAACAATCACTCAAATAACTATAGTTTGACGAATGAAGAGTTATAATTGACACATGATGTCCCAACAAACAAAATGACATTTATAGCAAGGCACATAACAATCAAGAAGGATTGATGGTTAATAAAAATGACTACTAGAATTTGAGTGTTGCAATAAAGATGACTAGAGTTTAGGTGTTAGGAATTGTGAAAAAAAAAAAATATCAGAATCAAAGTATTTAATATTAACTTAAAATTTGAATTGTATTGTATTGTATTATTACATTATAATTTACATGTATATGTAGGAATTTAATCCTAATATTTATATATGATAATATTTTAAATTATCTTTTAATAATCATAGAGATAATAACAAATAATTACAAAAATAAAATTACATTAATCTAGCTAATGACAATAAATTAACATGTAAAATGAATTTAGATTTTTTCAAAATTAATTAATTCACAATAATTTCTTCAAAAATGAACAAATAGAAAGCTATCAATGAAAAAAATAAAAAGTTATACAAGAGAGATAACCCTCACTAATTCACAAAAAATAACATGCAAAAGACGTAAACAAAGTAGAAACTAAATAAAAAACAACATTTAAGGGCAAAAAATAAATTCTTAAATGAAATTCAAAATATAAGAATAAAAAACCTAAAAAGTGAAAGAGATTAGTAAAAGAAAAAAGAAAAAATAAGAGTATGAAAATAAAAAAGTACAAATACCTTTCAAAAGTTATATAATTTTATTTTATTTTTTATTTTGCTATTTGTATGCATTGTCGTTCAAGTTTACTACAAGTCATTACAAAATGGACTTGAGTTCCATAACATTTTAAAAATTGATGATAAAATTAAATAAACTGCTTGAAAATCTTTTTTTTTTTTATTTGCAACAATTGCTTAACCTACACTTCTTTCTAACCCGACGTTATATAACACCAAAAATATCGCATTTTTTGTAGTGACAGTGTAAAAACATTAATTTGCACCGATAATATATAAGTTATACTCTTATCAAATCAAAAGGAATTCATTTGGGAAAAGAAGAAGATGAATGATAAGTGAATGAGTCAATATCAATTCCAAACAATAAGTTTCACATAAATTTTCCAAATGCAAAGAAATTTATCATTCCATTTTTTACTTCAAAACTCAATCACGTCAACATCAAATGTTCCTACAGCTTTGAAAACCATTCATTAATTTCACACAAGCCTTGTTGAGATTTTGACTTTAGAGAGTAAGATTGGTCGATTGGTCAAGTTTAATTTTTGTTTGAGTAAGATATGTCAAATTTTATATAATCGGCATGTGTGTGAATTCACATTCATGAAACTAAAATGCTCTTTCTACAGATTTGGGACGAATTAAAAATTGTTCCTTTATGTCTTAGATATATTTTTAAAATGTATATACATAAAAAAAAATTCAGATACTAAATTAAAAAAAGTATTAACACCAATTTTTAATAATAGTAGTAAAAATTTATTTTAAACAAAGTATCATCACACTTAAATTTTTAATATTTTTCAATAAAAAAACTATTTTTGAGTGCTTAACCTCTGTGTTAAATGACGAGATTAATAAAATTCATTAAATTTTAACTTAGTTCTTAAACTAACTCATAAAAAAACAATTTTAAAACTTTATAAAAAAAGTATTCTAAGTATATTAATTAGTAACTGACGTGGAACGTTTTAATACTTAACAAATTCAACAATAAATTGAAATAACACACGTAAAATGAGCAAACCAAAGTGATACAAAACACAAGGATTTGTATTTATTTTAGATTTATATATATCCATGTAAAGTTAATATATAACAAAGCAAATTCAAGTAATGGAAAAATTGTGTACATCAAGCTGCTCCTGCATCAGCATCACGATCTACAAAGAAAGAACCAGTTTTACATTTGGTGACACTAAAAGGAGGTGCTGATTTACCATTAGAAATCAAAGGAACACTCAAACGACGACATTGCACAATCGGTGGATTGAAACGACTACTCTTAAACCTTCCATACTTAGCTCTAATTCTAAGATCCAAATCCACAGCTAAGTCATTGTAAATCCCAACACTTGTCTCTTCCTTGTACTCACCAAGTTGTTGAGCTTTGAGCTTAATCACACTTTGCCCATTAAACACTGCTTGAAGGAAGCTTGTATTCTTGTGACCTTGGTCAAAGGGTGTTAAGTTCACCCAACCGAAGTCATTATCTTTGTACCACGCAATTGCTTTGATACCCCTATAGTATACTATGATGTTTTTGTTGGGGTTTCTAACTGTGATGTTTACCTTGAAGTTGTAATATAAGGTGTTGTTGCTTGTGAGGTTGAATTGTGTGAGGGAGGCCTCGGTTATGTAGAACTTGACATTGGAGGGTGAGATGATTATCCAAAAGATGATGCTGGAAAATATGATGATGAACACAATGGCAAAGATTGTGCAATAGATGTAGCAAAAGGTACACCGTGGTTTGCAACACATGGTGTGATTGTGATGATTGATTGATAGGAAAAGGTATTGATGATTTGTTATGAAAAACTATGGTGTAACATTAATTTTTATGGGTATTTGTAGGGGTTAAGAGTTTATGGCTTAGGCGTGTGGTATGATGATTGAGCTTTTCTAGGAGATTTCCTTGCAAAATGCCAAGTGCAGAAGGAGAGGGGCATTGACTTTTGTAGCCGAGTAAAGAATAACACTTCAAATGCTTGAATAACAAGTAACAAGGTGATGACCATTGTTTGGTAGTGGAGATCAAGTATAAAATATTAGAAATTCTGCTAATAAGTTTGAGAGAAAATATTATTATATTTTTAATAATAAAATTTTCGCTAGATAATGCTCTGATATCTTCATTTGTTAAAGAGTTTTGGTATTTTTCTGAAATAATTTTAAAAAATATATAAACAAGTTTAAAATATTTATTCACATTAATTATGACATGGATTTTTATTTATTAGTTTAAATAAACTTTTTAATTCTCGTAATGTCTATTACATAAATTTAAGAAAATTGAACTTGCTTGCAAAGGAAAAAAGTATGCTTAACTATACATTTAATCTTCATATTTTAACTTATATGTTATTTTAGTTTATTTAGTTTTAATTTATCATATTTAATTTTTAATTATTTAAATTAAGTCTCTTATCCCAAAATTTTATTCAATATTTAAAAAAATATAACAAAAATATCATATATCATTGATTAAATTTATAAAACTAAAGGTATATAAAATATTTAAAATAAAATAATTTTTATTATATTTTATTTAGTGTTTTATTAAGTATTTTGTATATTTTTTTATTTTTATCCAATTAATAATATGGCATATTTTTATTATAGTTATGATAAATATTATATAAAATTTTAAAATAAAAGACTCAATTTCAAAAATTAATAAATTAAAAAATAACTTTAAAAAATTAAAATAAAATCACACAAATGCTTTTATAATTTTAATATAATAAATATTCTCATTTTTAATAAAAATTAAATAAATTTAACTTCTTAATATATGTTCTTAGATACATGTTTAATGAATCATTATAAAATTTACTATTATCTCTTCTTTTGTTTATAAAAAAAAAATATCAATATTTTATTTTATCTCAAATTTAAGGAACAATAATTCTTTTTTATCCATTAATTATTAGTTTTATTAAAAAATTATGTGAATAAAATATTCATTTTTTATGCATCCTTTCCGCCGCGGCCGCACGCATTGAAAACAAAATGTCAACCATTCTTGAATCTGTATTTAAGACAAACGTGACTAACATGTTCTCTATCATTCTTAATAACATATTTTTTATTATTAATTAAATTTTATTAAAATAATAAAAATAACTAAATTTTATGTTTTTTTTCTCTTAAACTAATGTTTTTTATATTTTTTAATTTTAATAAATTTTAACTAATAATAAAAAATATATTAAAAAATTGTATTATTATGGTACCTCTAAATTTTACCAAATTAGGGTTAAGTCAAGCTGCAGAATTATCCATTAAACTTCGTCCGTCTGCAAGAACAACCAATGCAATGACACATCAAAATGGGATACTAGGAAGACAGCATGACTCATTCATGTATTTTACTCAAGCTTTCTTCTGAAAAAAAAATAGTTTAGGGTTTATAATTTTAAATTAAAATTTTCTGATTTGTGCAACATTACGTATAATAAAAAAATTATATACACTATTGTTTAATTAAAAGTTACAAAAATTTAAATAATTTATACATTAAAACTATTAAATATTAAGTTATCTTATAAAATATGGTAAATGTTAATTGGTACTCTAAAAACACTAGTTAATGAATAAAAAAATAAAGAGAATTAGTAGAAAAGTAGAATATGAGGATATAATATTATTCTTAAGAAAAAATCACTATAGGTAGCTTTCTGTCTGAATTTGAAATTATAAGTTATAATAATTTTTTTAAAAAAGGAAAAAAAACAGAAAAACTAGTTGGAATATTCTTTGCCAACAAAGGCTTGCATTAAATATTTAAAAGATTTTTTACAGAAAATTTTAAAATATGAAATTGTGTCAGATTTTGAGGTAGAAAAAAACTTTCGAGCTAAAGAAGTATTTACAGGAAATTTACATGTACCTAACTCTTAAAGGATAAGTGAAAATTCAAATTATTGATTCCTATTATTTTCTTTATCGTTTTATACATACATTTTTGTTTAAATAGAAGAAAGTTTAAGCAAATTGCACCTTGGAGGTTTGTCATCTGAAATTTGAATTCATCTCTGTATAAGAAAGAATTGAATTCTTAGCCAGTTAGCTTTAGATATATGAATGTGATAACATTTTTATATCTGTAAAAGAAAATGCGATAAAAAAATAATTCAGTGGGAATATTTTATACTGTTTTTCAGGTACCCTAATCTCTATGGACGATCAAATCTTGTCCTCCTAAATTATTGCTTAAAATTTTTTTACGGTCTAAATCATTGATGAATAATCACTTGTAAATCCAAGGCTACGTGAACCCCTCTAAAACCCTCCAATGAATCATCATTATCGCTAACTGTGAATGTGAGAAACCAAATTTCAATTACTTGGTTGTGACCATTTCAGAACCAAAACCCATCACTCACCAATGCCACTGATTCACACTACTCCACCATCCCACTATGCTATTGCTACCCTCTACCCGGTTACAAGCTATTCCAATGCATCATCATATTCCACCTTTGGTTCCAAGTTTATGCACAAAACGGGTCATACCCAAAACCAAAGTTTTGGTTTTTCCACCACCACCAACAGGAATCGCTCTCGTGTTGCACTAATCAGAGCCAAAGGAGGAACCGATTACTATTCCACTTTGAATGTTAACCCTAATGCTACTCTTCAAGAAATCAAGAGCTCTTATCGCAAACTGGCTCGCAAGGTTCCAACTTTTTTCTAATTTCCCTTATATTTACTTGGTAATTTTAATGGGTTGTGTTTGGTTTTGGAGAAAATGGAGCAAAATGAGGGAAATTGAAATCTGGGGTGTCAGGTTTTTGGGAAATTTTGGAGTTAATTTTTAGCTTGTTGGTGTCAGTGCTGTGTGAAAATTGCAGATGAAAGTCGTTTTTTTTTCTCTATTTAATATATATGTTTGGTTGAGGAAAGAGTGAGAAGATGAAAATTTTGTAATGAAGAATCACTTTACACATGGTATTAAAAAAAAAAAAAAATGACTAGAGGTTAGAAAATCACTTCATAGTTTACACTACGAGGCATGACTTTGGTTGATAATCGAATTGTTATAAGTTTTTGTTTTTTGGATCAGTATCATCCAGATATGAACAAAAGCCCTGGGGCTGAGGAAAAGTTCAAGGAAATAAGTGCTGCATATGAGGTAATTCTTGCCCCTAGAATGATACTTTTTCTACTGTCAGAAGCAAAATGTGCTCAAGCAGAACACTTTTTTTTTTCTACATTCTCCGGCTCCACATTTTATATATCTATATCTTCTGTGCTACTGTTCTCTTTGCTTATGATCAGAACATTTTCATTGTAATTTTTTTCCCATCTGGGATACATGACTGGATTAGTGAAATTTATGGATAATTGTATTACTTTGTGGACCATAACTGCCTGTGTGCTATATTTGTATTTATTCCATTTATTTGTATGGTAACAAAGCATGCATATAGGTCCTATCAGATGATGAGAAAAGATCTTTATATGATCGCTTTGGTGAGTCAGGTCTACAAGGAGAAAATGGAGAGTCAGCTGGTGCTTCAGGGGTATGTGTATATTCCATCTTCCATTTTTTGCTAGCTCAAAATGAATGTACGACTTTTTATATGATGATATAATTCTGAAGGACTAACATTTATTCCTTTATTTTCTTTTCCTGCCTTAGTTCTTCTTATGTGATTTTACTGCATATGCCTTTTGAATTAATCAGGTTGATCCTTTTGATTTATTCGATACATTCTTTGGTCATGCTGATGGACTTTTTGGAGATGCTGATGAAGGGGGCATCAACTTCAATTTCAGAAACAAGAGAAACCGCAGTCGTGATATTCGGTAACTATCTTCTCAATACTAAGATTAATTTGGTTTGAGAATTAACCGAGTAATTACAGAACACTACCTTTATGACTGAGTTTTTTTGAAAAAATTGTTATTATTTAGCATTCTCCTTCACATAGGGACTTTATTCCATGTGTATAAAAAGAGAAATTTATCTAACAGAAGATAAAAGAATTGCAAGCAGGAGGATGGGCTGTCTTTCAAAAACAAAATCAAATAAAAAGAAAAAAGAAGTGAGAAGAAAGAAGATAGCCAGAGTTACCCTTTGCCTCTGGAAGACGTTATATCTGTCCATAAAATGCCAACAAGATTGCACAAAATATTTGGAATTAACTTTCTTTTATTCTGCAATGCAGGCAAGACCTTCATTTGAGCTTTGAAGAATCCATTTTTGGAGGACAGAGGGAGATTGAAGTTTCTTGTTTTCAGACATGTAATACTTGTGATGGTACAGGGGCTAAATCAAGGAGTTGCATTAAGCAATGCACAAATTGTGGTGGCAGAGGGGGAGAAATGAAAAGTCAGAGAACACCTTTTGGAATGATGTCTCAGGTCATTTGATTAAATAGATTTAATCTTTGAGTGACTATATTGCCAATTATATTTAAATTCTCTGAGATATTATAACAGAGTGACATTTGTATCATGTGATATTCAGGTTTCTACCTGTTCTAAGTGTGGTGGTCTTGGCAAAATAATCACTGATCTCTGTCGAAAGTGTGATGGCAGTGGTCAGGTTCAATCTAAACAAACAATGGAAGTGGATATTCCTCCAGGAGTCAATGATGGAGACACGATGCAAATTCGAGGGCAAGGGAATTTTGATAAGAAGAGGTTAGAGCATCAGTGAATGTTTTGCTTCCAACAATGTTTTGACTTGATTATACTGTGTGATTTGTGGGATGAATTCTAGTTTGGCTTGTCGGATTGATAAAAGGAAAATATAAGTTGTAATAAATAAAGACTGCAAAACAGAGCTTCTTCACGTTATTATTTATTAAACAAATAAGTATGAAGTTGTTTCTACATCTCGACAGTCAACAGACAGCATCTAATGAGTAAATACACTGACCATATTCATAACTTTCAACAAACTCACCAACTAATATACTATGAAGCCTCCATTCAAGGACCCAAAGATTGCCGACTTCCAATTTACTCTTTTCATTCCTTTACTCTTAATTATCAATTTACTGCTAAATTAACAACCTTTGCGCAATACCATGATTATTTATTGGTGATAGATTACCAAAAACTGTTATGATTCATCATGTGTAATAATAGAAAATGATGTCACTTAATCTGAGACACGAGAGCTTATTTAAAAATAAAGTTGGGTCTTGTTTTCATTGGATTATTGATTTGCAACCTGAAGGGGAGATGTGGTCAGAATCACTATGAATTCAACTCATCTAAGCTTGCTATTAATTTGGTGCATTTTTATTTCAGGAAAATTATTGGGGATCTTTTTGTTGTCCTTCATGTAGATGAAAAGCAAGGAATTTGGAGAGAAGGTCTTCATTTGTACTCAAAGATTAACATTGACTTCACAGATGCAATACTGGGATCAGTCAAAAAGGTAATATTAGCTACACCCCACTCCCTTGACATTAAAACAGTAACATTGTAGGTGCAAAATGGAGAAGCATGTTGATTTGGATACTTAAGTTTTTTAGGATTTTATCATCTTTTGGGGTCTTAACTTATTTTTATGGATTATACGATAATTGTGTTATTTAGGGATCTTTACTTTGTTTTAGGATCTTTCCATACTTCTAGGATCTTATATTTGATGTTATTTTGATTAGGATTTGACTAGAGTTTGACTGCCCATGGTTTATAAATAGATACCCTTTTCAGTGTCTGTAGTTATTTGGTATGATATTGATTTCATATTAAATCATCTTGTTTCAATTCTGTGGATTTGTTGTTTTGGAATTCCAAGAACTCCTTTCCTGGTAATTGGAACCGAGTTTCTTGGATTTTTCCTAGTCCAGTTTACATCATTTAGGCCCCCCTGGTGGTGCCACTATGGATTGGACAAGCACCCCTTCTTTGTCACCTTTGATGTAGACATTTGGACAGGAATCAGGATTGTCTTTGATGCATTTTCTAATATAGAGGAGTACGTTCTGTTTTTTACCTAAATTTGGTGCTCAGCTCATTGTGGTCGCTGTAGAGGTGTTTTAAATAACTGATATGCAAAGAGACTGAGAGCTCTGTTGCCTTCTTTTGCCACACTCGCTATTTTTTCTTTTTTAAGTTGGGAAGATTTATTACCCTCTACTAGATGTACTTCCTCTCCAGTTTGTTTTATATGTTGAATTGAATACAGTTGGTTGAAGTAATATTTTGTTTCAGAATAGGTCTTTCTTCTTTGCTGGCATTAACAATCTTATTAGCTAAATATATTCTTTTGCAGAACAATAATATAATTAATGCAGTTACATATCCAGAAGCTTATGCTTCCGAGGCAACCATGCTATCTATTAGATATTCTGCATTTAATATTCACTGAGTGCAATCAATTAATCTATATCATCCCCATGGTTATTGATATAGATGATCATGCTTTAACAGGTAGGTATTTTTAGTGATTTCCAATTGTGGTAAAAATATGTTGGGTTGCTCATCAGCCCATTTCCACCCTTAATTTCCAGTAGTATACCATCATATTCCTTATATTTTTTATGTTTGGAGGAAAGTCCATGATATTAATTTATTCATTTTTTAGATATGCAAGTTTACTCATTCTGTGTCTTTCTCAGCATAGTTCAGTGCTTAAGCCATTCATAACATTAAGTAATATCATGTGGCTTTTGTGTCTATGAAGGTTGTTTTGACTTTAAACTTAGGTGACTTCAGGTAGAAACTGTTGAAGGTTTAAGGGATCTTCAAATTCCCCCAGGGATTCAACCTGGAGATTCCGTGAAGTTGTCACGATTAGGAGTTCCAGACATGAATAAACCATCTGTTCGAGGGGATCATTACTTCATTGTGAATGTTCTTATTCCAAAGCATCTCAGGTCTGTATTTTTCTTACCATCTTTTCTTATATTCCTTAAAGTAAGAGTTTATCATTGATTGTCCAGTTTGGAGTTTTGCATGCACTAGAAATTTCTGTGTTATTGTACTTTGACTCCGGTTTTCAAGTGCAGCAATTTTCAGTAAATATTTTATTTACTTATATCAATTTTAAGCTAGAGCCTTTAATGCCTTTCCATGGACTTTATTAATGTTGCTGTTGGAGAACACATTTTTCCTTGTCTACAGTCTCACGTCCCAACAATTACAGATGGAATGAGTTTGCACTTTATAGTTATAATTCACCTTGAAAGACTTCATCAGTTATCTGAATAGAACTGCTGCCTTTGAATTTCTTTGCTCCACTAAGTTGATTTAGTGTGAGAACATATTACATGACAGTTTATGGTCGAACCATACACGCAGAAGCCTTCTTGATAAATGAATACTTTGTTATATTTTTTTCTTGAAGTTTCTTATAGTTATGATTTCTTTTCATCCTGCTTGTTCTAGTGACACGGAACGCATACTTGTTGAGCAGTTAGCTTCACTAAGAGCATCTAGCAAACGTGATTCGCTATCATCTAATGACATCAGTAATAGTTCATTTTACTCATACTTTTGGGATTCAAGTATAATATGTTAAAATGATGCTGCACATACATGAACAAAAAGTTATTTAGGATTTTTTGCAACTTTGCTTTCCAGGGATACCTAAAGGAAAATTCAGTGAATTCTTAAAGAGAGGTCCAAAAGATGATGCTTCAAGCAAGGGAAGAAAAAATGTTGACTCTGTGTGGAAATCAGTCAAGAACTTCTTAAGGTATATCTCAGTAGAGCTCTGCTATATGTGCTAACTCTAATTGAATAAAAACAATAGTGAATAATTTTGCATGAATAATCAGAATTTGACTTAGGCTATATTTATGTAAACTTCTAGGAAAGTCTTTATAGAAAAAAAATCAGTGTAAAAAATGAATTGAACTTCTCTCATAAGGTAGAAATAATTTATGTTTCTCTATTTCTTTAGCTCTCTCATTTAACTTTTCTCTAAAATTTGAGAAGATAAATTCGATTTTAACTTAAGAGAGAAATTTTATTCATTTTTTATATCGATTTTTTTCTCGAATAAAGACTTCTTTAAAAGTTTACTCAAACTGAACCTTAATAAGTTGTCTTAAACAAAATAAGAAGGCTTCATCATCATTCAAAACTAGATAAAATAAAGATTCCTGAAGCTCTTGACAAAACTAATCTTCCAACTTTGAGGCAGAAGTCATTCATGAATGATATCGATAAATTATGTAGTTTTAAGATTCTTACCTATTTCTTGATGTACAGGAGAGGACAGTCTGAAGAAAGGTTTGCTTCAGTTAGTCTCGATGCATCAGGGTCATCATGGAGACCTAGCCACCAAAATCATTCTGTCCCTGATTCTTTTTTTTTTGTTTTCATTTTAACTTGGATTTTCGCCTCTATAGCTAAGTCTAAGTACTCAATATTTCAGAAAAGAACTCAGTCCTTTAATAGAACACAATGAGAAAAATTAAGGGTAAGAAAAGTAAAAGATAGTTAGGGAAGTGAAAGTGGAGTGAGATGGAAAAGTTTTGATTTTGAGGCCTTGGTGTTTGGTCATAGTGGAACGTGGGTTTATTTTCAAAATTCTCTCCTATTTAATTTTAGCTCTGGTAACACCCCTATAAAACATTCTGTTTGAGCTAAGATTAGTGATAGAATGGTTATCCATTTGATCTGTTTGCTCCCATTATGCTCAGCCATAAATTGTAATCTCTATCAATCTTTGGCAGCTTATATTGAAAAATGGTCCTATCTACTATTTTGAGCTGTGAAATTACATGAAATTTCCCTTTCAATTTGGCATGCTGTGTGAATCCTAAGCTTTAGTAAATTCGTTTAAGGAAATCCAGAGAAAGGGTCACAACTCATGCGGTTGGTTGAAAATTATATTTTGATACGGTAATTTGTTAAGTTTATAATTTAATATTTGCTCCCTTTACTAATAATTTTATCTGAACTGTATTTGTTGGGTGAAGACTTATTATGACAAAAATAATAATAATAATAATAATAATAATAATGGTTTCCACAGAAGCACTAATTACTACATTAAATGATGACAAACTCCTAGTTCTCATTAAAAGGCGAACAAATGTGTCTTAAGATTATTTTTAAAAATGATCGTTTATTAACTTTTTAAAAATAAGTGATTATTTTTTCAAAAATAACCACTTCCAAACATGCAACATATATATCATGCTAATCATGAGTGCATGTATGGTTAATTATGTTATAACTTATCTAAGTATCAATTAAGATTGGGTGAATTTGCATAAGCAAAATTGAAGATAGCCCGATAAAGATGTGATTTTATTGTCTAGTGCAAAGCCAACAAATTTTAAATGAAGTATTACAGGTACCTTTTGGTATTGTTTTTCAATCAAGATTAATGTATTAGCAAGGTAACATGTAATAACATTAAATATAAAACATATTAAAATAAAATTTTAATTCTAATTATTTTTTTGGTCAAATCTAATTTTAATTAGTAAACGGCACCATAAAGCATTTAAATTACAGCATATAAGTTTTTGTCTAATGAAAATTGCAATAAGTAAGCTGGTAAATTATGTTGCTACTGCTAACAAGGATTGCTCGTAAAGAAAATGCAATTCCCACGTGATGTAGCATAAGCTTTGAGTCTCTATTGAACTTGAATATTTGGGTGAGATGTTATAAGCATAGCTAAAAATGTGTGGTTTTTCATTATTATAGAATTTAAAATATGTTTGTCAAGAAGCAATTGATTCTTACTCTTTCATTTGGATGCTTGAGAATTTGTATTAATAAAAAAGCCAAACACCCTTTAAAGAAGTAGCAGTTGGGTGAGTACTTTAAAGTCCAAAATAAAGTAAACCAAATATTCCGCAGACAAAGTAATCAAGGTTGTTCTATTATCTCTGACCTAACCCAGCTTTCTTTACAATCTGGCACATATATGTTGGCAGGCATCTAATGCTCTTGGGTCTACAATGTGCGGTGCACAAACACTATATCATGTAAACAAATTTTTTTAATGTGTCTAAAAGTATATAATAAGAATTTATATGTATATTTTTTTAATATAATTTCCAATAAAATTTTATAATTTATTAATTTCTTATAATATGTTCTTGGAGACATTAGAAAAGTTGTCATGTAAATAATGGCTAGGTCTACTATTCTTAGCCTTCCTTGAAATATAAGCTGCATCTTAATCTGTCCACACAAAACTGGTTAATATTCTATTACCCCTCTGCATTTGACAATGTAGCATCAATAATTGGATAATCTGGATGCAGAATTTAATGCACACATCTTGAAGAAACCTCTACTAATAAATGTCGTGTAAATCAAGCTAAACAATGGTTGAACAGGTCCAAACGCAGAGTTTTCCACCTTAGTTGAAATGAGCAAGATAATGCTTAAAGCCCTCAACCCTACTTGTTGGCTAAAAAGCTACAACTTTTTCATTTCTTGCAATCATTAGGAACCTTCACAATTACCAACTTTTTTAGAACAAGTGGTGATGATAAGGTACTTTATTTTTTTTTTCCCTTCCTTTGTGTTCTGTAAATACTTAGACTTCTCAATTGTATATATAGGCTGGCAAGATTATCACATAAAAAGTTTTAATGGAATGAAGATTTGCTTAGGATTAAGCTGTGGCTCACAACTTGTTAATGATCAGTCCAATTCCTACCATAAGATCACATTAAGAAATATTCTGCACCATTTTTCTATTAATCTTTAGGTAATATAATATAATGATTTTTTTATTTTTATTTTTGCAGTATTTTTTGATCCGATTGGATTTCATACCAGTTCTTGTTGAAATTGGAAATCGCTTTAATAATTCAAATGCCATAAATTCAAAACGCTTTAGTAACTCAAGCACCTCAAAATCCTAACAAAACTAAAAAGAAAATGGTTTGTGAACATTAAAAATGTGACATAGGTATTAACTTATTTTATGCTCAAAATACGAAGATGAAACTAAAATATGGGTTTAACTGAAACTTAGTCGACACAGCTTTTTTTATAGTATTGAAGTCAAGCTGTATTGAGTTAAATATTCTTAAAATTGAACATGTAAATCAAAGAGAAATTGCAAAAAATATTCTTAAATCTTTAACGCTCATTCTCTTCGATTTCTGGTATTTAATTAGCATTTTTTTTTTGTTTTATGTATTGATAACATCATAAACCAGTACCACTGTCTGTGAATTATCTGATACATTATTTTATTACTACTGGACAGATTTTTACCCAATAAAGATGCTGCCATCTTTAAAATAAAATAAAATAAATACACAAGAAAGTAATTATTTACGATGTTCAGCCATTCCCTTTCAATTAGTTGGCGTTTAAAATAAGTAAATAAAATCATCACAAGATACATCAGTGTTATAAAACTACTTTAAAATGTAAATAAATATAATTGGCCAAGCAGCTACTGCGTGTAGCCAGAATCAGATATCTAAATTTCGGATTATATTTAGTGACAATGCCAAGATTGTCATTAAATAATGGATCAAGATACTTATATAAAAATGGATGTTTATAATTGTGTTATATTAGTTAGATATGATTATTTGATAGTTTTGTATGAATAAATTCTCGAAAATATATTTCATAGCCTTTATTTTAAATGATTTTAACATCTATTTTGTGTAACACTATGGCAAGCTGTAATCATGATGTTTCAGTACCTTTTGCTATATCTTACACATGGTTTACTTTACTTGTTCTGATGCAATGTTTTTCGTTCTTAGTTTTAATTCTGACTGAAGTCAGAATGCACTGTTTTTTACAAAAAATAAAGTATGAAAGCCCTCTTTTAGAAAATTAAAATTAAAATCTTCTATTTCACTACAATTTGATGCACGCCAAAATCAAGTGCCCATTAAAAATCCAAAGGGTGAGTGATGCTAATCACACAAGTATAATAAAATGTATTAAAAAGTAAGATATAATATTCCCATTGCACATTAATTTAATACGTAATAAGTCATCAAATAAATTTTTACTAACAATCAAAATAGAAAAGGGATTGAACTCAAACTTCAACAGCTCTATGATCTAAGCCACATATACCTCCAATCAAATCTACTAATTTGGTGGGCAGTGATGTTTAGTTTAAAAATTTGTCTAATTATGCCTCCCAAAAAACCGCAACAATAACATTTGCTTGCTAATGAAGGAGAAATCAAAATTCAAGCAAAGACATGTCTAGCCAAACTAGATTTTCGTCTTACAAATGTCTTTTATCAATGTCAAGTAGTCAATAAATAACTGCAATTTCCTGCTTTCACATATGCACGTTAACAACCCCTATAGGCCAACACTTAATTTTTGTTTTCTAGTAAATCACTTCTTTCCCTATAATAAGATTAAAGGGGCAATATAACAGTGTGAGTTTACTTCTTTTACAATCTACATATCTTACCTACATCCATCAAATTCAATTATTAAGTAAAAATTCCCCAAACAACCATAAATTTTAGTCATTAACAAGACCTTAATGCTTTCTTATGATCAACCACCGTATCTTCTCAGCAAAATTAGCTGATAGAAGAAACTTGTATTTATATAGCACAAGAAATATAGAAATTTAAATCTGAAACTATAAGTTAAACTAAAACAACCATCTACTAATTGATTAATACAATGAATCAATAACCTTAACTATATTCATATGAAAAACATAAAGAAACTCTAGTTTTAGCGGTTGGACAAGTTGGTCTAGATGAATTGCGTTGGTCATCACATGGGTAACCAAATGGAAAGTTATTAGCTATCTCTATCCAAAGTGTACGTAGGTAGAAAAGCAAGCATGACTAGCTTTCCAACCAGAGGATGCCCTTCAAAACAGCTAACATTGGGACACTATGCTGCTGCTTTCAATCCCTCAAGAAAGTGTACACAAAATTCTCACCTACACTTTTCCTTCAATTATTGATTTTTCATTTTAATTAGTTTCTGCCTTTGACATGGATTGTGGTGTAGGTTTGATTCTCTTCCCCTCTATTTTCTTTGTTCATTTGCTTTCTAAACTGGAAGTTACTATTATTAATATTGTGAGATGGTAGCTGCTCCCTCTATGGTCCTACATCTATCTTCTTATAATGACTAATCAAATTGTTGCGTTAAAAATCTCCCCCACCAACTCTCTCTCTCTCTCTATATGTATATCTCGAATACCAAAAATATTGGGTAAGAAAGAATTGTAACGTTACGTGTGGGGCTTATAAGACATAACTAACGTTTGTTTTGCAATGCTCATCTTTTGATGGAAAAAAATGATAAAGGATTAAGAAGTATGCTATTCAAGTGTGTCCAAAGTGATCATAACAACAAAGGTGAAAGGTTTAAGTTTTACAAACATCGATTAACGTAATTTTTAATATATTCTTTGTCAATGCATCGTTTTCTTATTCCTAGAAAAAGTGTGCACTTAGATATGAGGGAAATTATGTTCTTATAACAATTTTGCATAAATTATAAAAGAAAAATACTGTAAGATAAATTATGATGTGATATGTGATTTAAAAAACATAAATAAATAAATTATAAAAATACTGTAAAAATTTATTGTAAAAATAATATATCTTACATATTATATATACAATTTTTTTGTTAACTTGAAAAGTATCCATTAACATTAGTATGATGCATTTCCTCATGTTAATATATTTCCATTACCCCGCTGTTGTTCTCTTTGATACAAATTAAACTTCATTTGTTTTTTTTTCATGTTTGATAATTCTGAAGATATTTTTATTCTTATTATTCTTTTATCTGTTTGCATGAAACGTTTTTGCTGTGCCTGGTAAAAAAAAATGTGACACGCTATGAAATTGAGTCATGATAATTATATTTATGGAAAAAAATTATTTTGAAAAATAAGATAAAAAATCATTTCAATTTGAGTCACCAATAAAGATTACCTTATATAAGAAAATAGTACTTATGTGACTATTTTCTTTTTATGAACCTTAAAAGGTCCCAAATTGGGGTAATGCAAAGCTGTTGGAATTACTTCATTCATAAGAGATATAATAAAAAAATTAAAATTTCCATAAAAATTAAAACGTTAATAATACTTTTTAGTTCCTCTATCACTATCTTATGCATTAATAAAAGATAATAGAAGTAATTAGCAATTCCTAATTAACACAACTTTAATTTCCTATTTAATGTTTTCGCCGCGTGTGGAGGGTAGAACGGATTAAGAGCTAAAACAAAAATTGACTAAGCAAAGGGCCATCAAATTCAATTATTATTTTCATTTCACAAAATAAAGAAAAGAACTATTAATGGAGTCTATTATTATAATTGTGGTTTCAAACTAACAATTAATGAGTACTCATGACTTAATTATTTTATATATATTAATACAACGGGTACTCATTACTGGATACATATAAATTCACCTAAAAATACAGTTTTAAAGAAATTATACTTGTACATAGAATTCATTACTGGATACATACATACATATATATATATATATATATATATATATATATATATAATATTTATTTTTATTCTGTTTTTCTTCATATCATAGTATATCATTTATTGTATTTTTTTTTCTTTACTCTCTTATTAAATATACACACCTAATAAGTGTATGAATATCGTTTTTCCTTATCCATATAACCTAAAAAATATTTACATATATAATATTCCACCACCCAGTGTATAAAGCTTTTCTTAACTAAATAATATACACATGTAACATGGTATCACATCATTACTTTTTATAAATCAACGTGTGCTTGTCCCCTCTTAACAAAATTAAATAGATATTTTAGTATACTAAATCACATATTTATTTACAAAATAATATGTTGTGTTTAAGAAAAATGATACTCTCAGGATATTATACTTAATTAAAAAAAAAAAAAAGACACATACACATTATTTCTGAACCTTTAGTAGTAATTTTAAGAAATTAAAAATAGTATAAAATTATTATAATTTTATATTTTTAATACAATAAATATTTTCTAATAGAATATATTTTTATATATGTTTAATATTAATATGTGATTTAGAGCATGAGTTTCAACAACTGTAATTATATTAAATATTTTTAAAAAAATTATCATAATCTTACTTGGCTTTAAAAAATTATCTTAAATAAAAATATATGTAATCTAGGAAAAAAATCAATTAAAAAATAATATTTTCTATCATATAATGTTATTTATTATTTTAAATATTTTATAATTTTAATTGTTCTATCTCTAAATTTATATTTACACAGAAGTTTTTGAATTTTATATTTTTATAATTTTTTTAAAACATTATATTTTAATATAAATTATTTTAAAATATGATATATAAAAGAAATAATCCAAAACTGGGCTATGAAAAATTTGTAATAAAAAGAAATGGAAAATATGGAGTTAAAAAAAGAAACCTGTTCCCCACACCATTGACTGTACAGATACCTACAGGTAGGGTTTCTTTTTTGCAGTGTCCTTATTAGTAAGCACATACCCTGTCTCTCTCTGTAAAGAAGAGATAATAAGAATTAAAAAAGAAAGTAAAGGAGATAATACATTCTATCCAAAACTCAACCTTTCACTCTACCAGAAGATTTCACATACTTTAGCACCTATACTAACATCTATTTCTATAATTCTTGTTTTATTATGATTAAATTGCTTCCATATTTTAAAATTACATTATATAGAGATAAATAAATATATATATATATAAGAAATAAATGAAAATTAATCACTTTTTTTTTTCTTTCTTCTTAGTAATAACTCTCGTATTAATAGAAGATGACTGCATCAGACATCATCAAAGAAACTGAACATAAGACGGTAACCGCTATTGCTGTGCCTTATTTTTAACTGTGAATAACACACAACACAAACAAAACAAAAAGAAAATAGAGACACAACACAACTTGAACTGCACCATTCATTCATAGAACAATGAAGAAACATCATCAACAAAATGTTTCTCACAAATTCTTACCAAGCACAATCCTCATTCTTCTCTTCTGCTTCTTCCCTTTCGCCAAACCCGATCTCACGTCGGAGCGTGCCGCACTCTTAACCCTCCGTTCCGCCGTCCGCGGCAGAACCCTTCTCTGGAATGCCTCGTCATCTTCGCCGTGCATTTGGCCCGGTGTTCAATGTGACGTCAGCAATGTCACCGTCGTTGAACTTCACCTCCCTGCTGTTGCACTTTCCGGCGAGCTTCCCGCCGGCGTGTTCTCCAAGCTCCCCAACCTCCACACTCTCAGCCTCCGTGTCAATGCTCTCTCCGGCGTCCTCCCCGCCGATCTCGCTTCCTGCGTCAAGCTCCGGAACTTTTATCTGCAGCGGAACGAATTCTCCGGCGAGGTTCCGGCGTTCTTCTCCGGCATGACTGGTTTGGTTCGGCTCAATTTGGCTTCAAACAACTTTTCCGGGCGGGTTCCGGTTGGATTCGGGAACTTGACCCGGTTGAGGACCCTTTTCCTTGAGAACAATAGGTTCACTGGGTCATTGCCCGAGTTGAAAGAGCTGAACGAGTTGGCTCAGTTCAATGTCTCCTACAACATGCTGAATGGGTCGGTGCCAAGAAAGTTGCAAACTTTCACTAAAGATTCGTTTTTGGGGAATACCCTTTGTGGGAAACCACTTGCATTGTGTCCTTGGGATGATGGTGGTAGTGAGAATGGTGCAAATGGGACTTCAAATTCAAGTGGGGTTGGAGGAGATGAAGGGAAGGTGATTGAAGGAGAGAGGAAGAAGAAGAGCAAGTTATCTGGGGGTGCCATTGCTGGTATTGTTATTGGGTGTGTGGTGGTTCTTTTGTTGGTTGTGTTTGCTTTGATTCTATTGTGTAGGAACAAGAGTGGTAGCAAGACTAGGAGTGTTGATAGCATAGTGACAATGAAGCAGCAAGAGAAGCATGATGGTGGTGAGGTGGGAATTGAGGGTGAGAATGTGGAGAGTGGTGATGGGAATGGGAATAATGGGTATTCGGTGGCGGCGGCGGCGGTGGCGGCGATGAGTGGGAGTGGTGGTGGAAGGGGTGAAGGTGGTGGTGGTGGTGGTGGAGATAAGAAGTTGGTGTTTTTCGGGAATTCGGTGAAGGTGTTCGATTTGGAGGATCTGTTGAGGGCTTCTGCTGAGGTTTTGGGGAAAGGGACTTATGGGACTGCATATAAAGCGGTTTTGGAGGATGGGCCTGTGGTGGCTGTGAAGAGGTTGAAGGATGTGACCATTTCTGAGAAGGAATTCAAGGAGAAGATTGAAGGGGTTGGAGCAATGGATCATGAAAATTTGGTACCTCTAAGGGCTTACTATTATAGCAGAGATGAGAAGCTTCTTGTTCATGATTACATGCCAATGGGAAGCTTATCTGCACTTTTGCATGGTTAGTTGAACTTGAAGCTTACTTTGGATATATATCATCTGCTTCCTTTCTATGTTTTGTGGTTCTGAGCATGACTTCAGATTTTCTTTACTGATTTTAGTGTGTATTTTTCTTTTAGATGAATTGCTGCAATTTGCATACATTTGGGTTTTGTGCTTTATTTTCTTTTCTGGATAAAACATTTTTGCTATCAAGAAGTGATTTAGCATCAGCTTTTAAATCTCATTGACCTCTTTTGTTGTAATTGTGTTATCATGAAGATTGGTAAAATGACATTACTATGATTCTTTCTTTATCATCATAGGAAACAAAGGGGCAGGTAGGACACCATTGAATTGGGAAATGAGATCAAGCATTGCACTCGGAGCAGCTCGTGGCATTGAGTATCTTCATTCACAAGGGCCTAATGTGTCTCATGGGAACATAAAGTCATCAAACATCCTCCTAACCAAGTCCTATGATCCAAAGGTATCGGATTTTGGCCTTGCACAACTTGTTGGTCCTTCATCATCCACACCTAACAGGGTTGCTGGATACCGTGCTCCTGAAGTAACCGATCCTCGCAAAGTATCTCAGAAAGCTGATGTGTATAGTTTTGGTGTTTTGCTTTTGGAACTTCTTACTGGAAAGGCTCCCACACATGCCCTTTTGAATGAGGAAGGAGTGGACCTCCCAAGATGGGTGCAATCAGTTGTTAGAGAAGAGTGGACTTCAGAGGTGTTTGATATTGAGCTATTAAGGTATCATAATGTTGAAGAGGAAATGGTTCAATTGTTGCAACTTGCGGTGGATTGTGCTGCTACATACCCTGATAACCGCCCTTCAATGTCTCAAGTGAGACAACGCATAGAAGAGTTATGTAGGTCTAGCTTGAAAGAGGGTACTCAAGATCAAACCCAACAATCTGATTTTATCAATGATATAGATGATGTGTCTTCTAGATGAGTTTGGTATGTATAAGGGTCTCGTTGGCTTTGTCAAAAGCCTCATATTTTGCTTCCTAAGTGAAGTAAATCAAGTGTTTATGTTGTATTTTTTTTAGCTTGGGATATAATTTTCTTAAGCACCCAACTTTGAATTTTTCTCCTATCTCCATTGTTCTACTTCACCCTTTTTCTTCTTCCCAATCAATATTTCTTGGGGGAGTGGGAGTGGATATCTTGTTTCAATAGTTATTGCCGGTGGATTCTGGTTGATGTAATTATTACTGTTTGCTTTAACATTGGGACTTTTGCTTTTTGGTGACACTTTTTTTCTCTGTTGATATTGAGATAATATATAGTCGCTTTCATGGTTGGTTGTAATGTCTTGTAAGTGGCATGTAGCACGTATTTAATTGTTGTGAACCCCACCTTGGTATAGACAAGATGGATCATTTTTACCCAAAACCAACTTTGATTAACTTTTCCTCCACATGGGAGGTGGATTTAAGATTTGGATGTGAATGTGAATGTCTATGTGGATCCCCAGTTGTAAAAATTCTCAGTTTCATGTCTCACTAATTCCTTAACCATTGTCTTTTTATCAGTGTTCCACTAAACTCGAAATGAAATTTTAGGATTGGATGGCCGTAATTTTAAAATAATGTCTAAGAATCTTGATCCTAAAATTTAGTGCTCTTCCATCAAAAAGAATGTTAAAAAAAAAAACAACTTTTAGCACTGCACTATGTCGATAAAATGTCAAAAAGTGTCATATGATGAGCAAAATTCTAAGGTCAAACAGGTGCGGCATGTGTTAAAAGTTTGATATGATATGAAATGATGTATTTAGATTTGGTAAATTTATTTCAATATTATAATTTAAAAAATAATTTATCACTTTATAAGTAATTTGAAATAATTTTTCTGTTTTTTTTTTTGGTCATGCGGACCCATTTTTTACCATAACAACTGACAAAAATAATTTATTTTTAAATTTTTTTATATTTATTTTGTCTCAAAAAATAAAAAATAAATAAGATAATAGTACGTGTCAAACATATATTAGTTTCGCGACTTGATTGGCAAAATAATCAGCAAGTTTCACCACAGCTTGAGCATAATTAATTAGATAGTGACACGTGACTGTAACGACCCTTGTTTCTCTATTAGAATCGCGAAAGTCAATAAAATTAAAAATAATTAATAAAAATGAATTCAAAATAGATTGCCAGAGAGATTTTGATACATGTAATAACATTTCAGATGATTCGCGCTGCTACTGGCGAAAGTGTATTTCGCCCTGCCGTTGACAAAACCATTCAAATTTTGACACGTGGCTAGCTAAACAGTAATCTTGACCGGCCTTCTTCTTCTCCTCCTCCATTTCCATTTTCATTTCTCCATCTTTGCCCCTCCATCGTGCAGGGTTCTTATTTCCAAAATTTGTCTAAAAATCTATTTTAATTTCTATTGTGAAGGGTTAAAATTTTTACGAATTTAAGAGGTATAAACCTATAATATGCATATTTATCTATTATTTTTAATTTGATTTGTTAATTGAAAAATCTGATAAACAGCAACAATTAATATTGTAATATTTTTTAATTGTATGCAGGTGATTCAGTAGGGGTGAGTGAAAAAATAATTTAGCTGAAGGTTTATTAAGGTTAGTAAAAAAGAATTTAAATTTTAAATATTTTTTCATTTATTTATATATAGATTAATATGTTTTTAGAAAAAAAATTAAAATGTGATATAGTTGATTAAAATGTAAAATTATAATTAACTGTTAAAAAGATAGGTTAAATTAAAATTTATAAAATTTGTTTGGAGCAATTGTTATATATATTTGTAAAAATACAGAATAATAGCAAATGAGTTAAATAAAATAATTATATAAAACTAAATATAATAATTTATACTTAATTTTATTGTAATAAATAATTTTTACACCTATATAGTAAATTAAGTAAAATTTTAAAATTGTAAAATTTGAAATGCAGTAATAATGTAAAATAATTAAGATGTAATCATAATTTGTATGAATTTTATGTATGTATAAAATTTGTATGTAAATAATTATATTTTTTACTTTAAAAAACGTAATATTATTTATATAATTATAAACTGAATGCAATTTAGGTAGATTTAAATTGGAAATATGAAAAAATAAAAATTTAATTTAATTTTATGCTAGTAATTAGAGTTTTGTATTTAAATAACGTAACACTATTTATATAAATTTTATTAAATACATTTTAATATGAAAAAAGTTACAATAATTAAAAATTTATATATCTTTAGTAATATGTATGAAAATGTAAATAAGAATTGATTTATTTAAAATAAAATTGATACTGCATAAATTATAATTTGTATAGAATATAGGTTAGTAATTTAGTTATTTATTTTGTAAAAAAAAATATAGTTATGATTTAATTGATGAGATTATACCTTATTTGTATAGAATATAGGTAAGTAATTTAGTTAATTATATTGTTAAAAAAATTATAGTTATGATTTTTTTATATATACCTGATTTTTGCATTTATAATATATTGCAATTAATATATATTTATGTCATTATAATGTGATAATGATTTGTTCGTAAATTTTTTTTTAACGATTATAAAATATGTATTATTAATATATTAGTAAAATATAAATTATTATTATTGTTATTGAATGAAATTATTTTACTAATATTTTTTGTTGTTGTATAGATAGCATCATCTTCACGATAAAGTAAGGTTATTAATCTCGGGCCAGAAGATCCATCACTTCTTCTGTTCCAGAGTATTCATATTTCTAAACATATTTGGGATGGACGTAATCACCCGACATTGAGGGTTAGGAAGAGTCAAAATATTCTCAGTAGATTAGAGAGTGTTTTGGAAGAAATTATTTCACATCTGGAGTTAGCAGGTTTTATTAGAGTGGCTAACTTGTCTCAGCTTCCCGTAGACATGGGATTGATTACTGCATTAATAGAAAGGTGGAGGCCCGAGACGCACACCTTTTATATGTCCCCTGGAGATTGTGATGTTGCTATTCTCTTAAGATTACGTATAGATGGAAGACCTGTTATAGCACCTACTGGAGGTGATTGGGCACAGATTGTTGAAGACCAAGATCAAATGCTTTTGTAGGGAGTTTCTTGAAGATGAGTTGGTTGGACGAACACTTCACTCATATTGTCATGCATAATCAGACTCTACTGTAGATTACTCGGTTTGCTAGAACATATATATTGAGGCTTATTGGAGGATACATGCTTCCTGATCACTCTAGCAGCAGGTTATCTGTGAGGTACTTGCCTTTGCTTGAAGATTTTGAGTTGACCAGTCAATATAGTTGGGGTTCTGCAATTCTAGGTTATTTGTACCGAGAGCTATGCATGGCCACCTGTAACACTTTAAATTTAATCTCAAATATCAAAATTCAGAAAAATGGGAGAAAATAAAGTTTCATTCGAAAAGGTTTTTCCCATATATAGTTCATCAAATATTTAAAATAAGGATGGGTTACAACTTGCATCAAATCATTGCTACAAGATTAATTCAATTACATCACAGTTCAAATAAATTTCTAATCCTATAACAATTTTATCCATCCTTCACTGAATCCGATGTTGATCGTCTTGATCACCTGAAAAATAAATATAAGGGTGAGTATTCTATACTACTCGACACACACACAATTAAATATAGAGTCTCACCTCACACATATTTCGCACGATTCATAATATATTTTACACAAGTATAATTACAAACAACAATTTATTTCAACTCACGATCAATGCACTCATGACACCAAAACATTTTACACGTGTGCACTCACCGCACGCAGTCACACTCACTGTGGCACTGTGATCACAGATTCACACCATGAACAGTCACCGGTTACTCATGCCTCACCGATACTGCGTGGGCAGTCACGAGTCGCTCGGCAAAGGTAATGGTCAGAGGTTTAGTCGGGAGGAGAGTGTACGGCTTGTGATGCACCCACGCTCACTGTTGGTGTTATCACCACTCTCTTTTTCCCAAGGTATTTCTACCGTCCCTATCTTCCACACCTCCAGTATATCGCTGAACCATTCATAACATCATTACAATGGCATTTATTATGCCCCATTCATAACAGTTTTATCCATCCTTCTTCTCATTTCTTATGGAGTTTTCTATGTGTTTTAGGGATGAAATTTGCGTGCGAAGCCCTTTTCCTTATTGATTCATGTGTGAGTCTTCAATCCGAGGTAAGGGGGACTTTACCCTATCTCATTGTGTATGATTTACTGTTTATATTGCAATGATCTCAGAAAACAGAGAAGAAGGATGAAAAACAAAATCTTAAACATTAAAACTCACCTCCAGGTGTTCTTAACACTAATCCAACCTTCAATATAACTCACGAATGATTTTGGAGACAATTTAATCAGTGGAATAGGGTTTGGGATTGATAGGATCGAAGAAATTTCGAAGGTAGATATGAGAAATGAGGTTCCCCAACCCTAAATCCCTTTTTGATCACGACAATCTCGCTACAGCGAGCCTCGCTATCGCGACACCCTATCTCGCTACAGTGAAAATCTCAGAGAGAATTGCATTCTGATTTTTGCAGAATCTCTCTACAGTGAGACCCTCTGACTACAGCGAGACTGCACCTCAAACTGTCATTTTATCTCTACAGCTAGGACCTCTCACTGCAGCGAGAAGGCGACAGTTTCACGCCTTCTTCCCAAGACCTTCTCGCTACAGCAAGACTTTTGTCGTTACAGCAAGAATATCCTGCATCAAACATTTAGCCAAATTTCAAACTAGTTTCAAACATACACATACATTCTCATCACCATATATATATAATCACGTATTTATCCATACGCATTCATACACATCATCATTCAATATTCATCACACACTCAAGTATACATTTCAACACTAATTTATATATAATAATAATACTAATAATCAATATTACAAAAAGTCAGGGCATTACACCACCAACATTGATCGTGTTGCTATTAGAGGACTTGAACTTGTTGTATTGATTGTGATCTGGGCTTGGAATAGATTTCCCCAAATAACACCTACCAATCCTCCCTATACATGTCGCTATCTTCCCTACGGTGTTAGGTAAGTTGTTATTGTTATTATTTTTCTACGCATTTGTAGGTTTTCTATAATGTTATTTGTTTGACTTCATGTTTTTATGATCAAAATTACTTGTAGATGGTTATTCCACGGTATTAGAAAGGGAAAGAAAGATGTCCAGTACTACAGATATATTTTTGATCATCTAGCACGTGGTGAGGTATTATAGCCAACTTTTGCTTAGTTACTCATTTAAATAACATGTATTAAATAGGGTATATTACACT